GGCCTCATGTGGCTAAATGAGGCTGTTTTGTCGCATGTGGCTCATATAGCCTGATGAGCCCTTCCCAAACACACGCTTAGTATACTTTTTTCAAACGTAACACTTCAATACAACATATTAAAAAGCTCGTTAATATACTTTTTTCAAACGTAATAACGTAACATTCTAAAAAAAACTCTTTAGTATACTTTTTTCAAATGTAACACTAAAAAATTCATTAATGTACTTTTCTCAAACGTAACAATGTAACAGTCTAAAAAAAATTCTTTAGTGTATTTTTCCTAAACGTAACACTTCAATCAATGTAATACACAAAAACTTTAGTGTGTTTTTTTCAAATGTAGTACTTTAATGTAACACTCTATGTAATGTTAAAAAACTATACTAACAAAAATGTAGATTTTAACGTTCAACAACAAAACCTTTAGCCACCAATCCCCTTAAAAAGAATTTTTCACACCTCACCTTTCCATTCTCATCCCAAAAACAAATTAGAAAAATAGAAAAATAAATCATAAAAGAGTATTCATTTAAACTCAAATGGCACTAAATCAAATAAATATAACTTTTCAAAACAAAAATGACTAATTGGTTTATAAGAAACTCTTAGGACTAAATGGATCAACATTTCCTTATATAGATTTTATGGATAAATTTTATTTTTTTCACTAAATTAATTTTTAGTAGAAAAAAATTAAAATTAAAAAAATGAAATTAAACATAGTGATAGATATTTAAGAGTGTATTTAAATTTTGTTGTTTATTGACCTCCCTTCTCCACTACGATCAACTTCCTATCCCCTTTCCGTTGCTACTACTTTTCTTGCAGACCTCCTTATTGTTATCATTTCCTCCTCAACTTTCTTGTTCCATCATATTCCTCTTTCGTATTGTAGCCCATTTCCTTTGCCACAACCCATGTCCCTTGTCGTGAACCATAGTTACGAACTCCTTTTCAACTCTTTATGCCTTTCACAATTGAGATCGGTATTGAGAGAGTAGGGTATTTTAGGGGGGAAAATGAAGGAAAAAATAGGAAGAAAGATCAAAAGAAGAAGAACTAAAAAGAAGTAGAGGAAGGTGGAGATGTACCGTAAAGAAGAGTTAGAGGAGATAGTAGTGATAGTGACAGTGATGGTGGCTGGGGAGATAGTGGCGAAGGGATGATTGGGTTTAGAAATTATAGTTAGATATTTTATGATTTTGTGTCTTTTTGGAAAATTTTATAAAAGGGAAAAATTATAATAAAAAAATAAAAAGCATAGTGTAAATGAATCACCTAAATCCTTCCATCTCAATTTAATAATCTAAAAGTTTAACTCAAAATTTTACTTTAGTTATTATTATTTTAATTTAAATAATTTAATCCTTGCATTTTGAAGCAAATTTTAATTTGGTCATTCTGTTTAATTTGAACGTTAAAATTGATGAATTTGTAACACATGTTAATTTCTTGAGATATACACAGAAAAATATCGACTATTTAAACAAATGATCAAAATGAAACTGTACTTAAAGTATACGGTCTAAATTATTCAAAATTAAAACAATAAAGTTAAAAGTGGGTTTTTGTAGATTGAAAAGTGTAATTTATTAATCAAAAAAGCCGCGAGCAAAGTATTGGTTTTTTGAGCGGAATATTTAATTTTGGTCAAGCAAATCCAACCATTAATTTCATAAATGGATTGATCTCAATCATTCTAACAAAATGTAAGAGATAGACATTTTCATAAACATTTTGTATTATTATGTAGATGAACTTAGATGCTGTTAAAACTTGGCTTGAAAGTTGGATAATATAAAGTGGCCATTATTAGGATGTTAATTATTGTTTCATGTCAACATTGGAGAATTAAAGTTGGATTATTTATTGTAATAAGGTCCAATCCAAATCAAGTTTGTTGAGATTGTGAGAGTGCAATATAACTAGTATAAATTGAACACCAATACTATGTCCAATTATTTTGAGTTTGACTATGAAATATACCCAATTCAACGTACCATCTCTAGCAAATTTATAAACTGAAGTATTTAATTTAGTTTAAATTTGGATAAACTTTTTTATTGACGTCTTTTTTTTTTGTGTGTTTATTTTTTAGTTTTTTTTTGGGGGGGGGGTAAGTTAGTTTTTAGTTTTGCTTTTGATATAAAAGTCAAAAACTCATACTAATAGCCCTAAAATTTTGAAGAAAAAAATAATAATAATAATAGCATTAATAGAAATTTTCCAAAGAGGAAAGGATGAAAACCCATAAATACCAAATTTTTCACCTGTCAAATTTTAATTTGGCTATTAAAAAAAATATATATATTGTCAAGCAATACAAAATTGTACCTGATTTGGTGACTTTTAATATCTTTTGGATCCTACAAATATTATTTATTTATTTTATTACATTGTTATTGTTGTGTGATTATGGGAAGTCCTAAACATGTCTTACATTTTTTTATTTCACCTTTTGATTATCTAATATTTAAAACGTTGTCTTAGTTTGGAAGTAACCTTGAAGTAAAAATTTGAAACTAGAATAACGAAAATAAATACTAAAAATATTTTTGTTCAAAAAAATAAAATCATATGAAAATGAAGACTTGTTTTATTTTATTTATTTATTTTTTTGGAAGAAACACTAATAAATCCTAAATAGTAATTTTATGAACGGTTTGTTCCTCCTTTTTTTTTATGGACTCAAGAGTCTCATTCTAGTGTGAATAACATAAATGATCAAGTATAAACGCGCGTGTTATGTGTTGAGTGACAAATATGTATTTTCTCATAATATTAAAATTACTAAATGTAACATTTTAAAAAAAAAATCTTAGTGTACTTTTTCTAAATGTAACACTAAAAAAACGTAACACTCCAATGTAAGAAATTGTTTAGTGTACTTTTCTCAAACGTAATAATGTAACATTCCAAAAAAATTTCTTAGTGTACTTTTCTCAAACATAATATTCCAATAAATATGACACATAAAAACTTCTTAGTATACTTTTTTCAAACGTAACACTTCAATACAACATATTAAAAAGCTCGTTAGTATACTTTTTTCAAACGTAATAACGTAACATTCTAAAAAAAACTTTTTAGTATACTTTTTTTAAATGTAACACTCTAATGTAACACTAAAAAATTCATTAATATACTTTTCTCAAACGTAACAATGTAACAGTCTAAAAAAAATCTTTAGTGTATTTTTCTTAAACGTAACACTTCAATCAATGTAATATACAAAAACTTTAGTGTGTTTTTTTCGAATGTAGCACTTTAATGTAACACTCTATGTAATGTTAAAAAACTATACAAACAAAAATGTAGATTTTAACGTTTAACAACAAAAACTTTAGCCACCAATCCCTTTAAAAAAGATTTTTCACACCTCATCTTTCCATTCTCATCCCAAAAACAAATTAGAAAATAGAAAAATAAATCATAAAAGAGTATTCATTTAAACTCAAATGGCACTAAATCAAATAAATATAACTTTTCAAAACAAAAATGACTAATTGGTTTATAAGAAACTCTTAGGACTAAATGGATTAACATTCCCTCATACAGATTTTATGGATAATTTTTTTTTTTCACTAAATTAATTTTTAGTAGAAAAAAATTAAAATTAAAAAAATGAAATTAAACATAGTGATAGATATTTAAGAGTGTATTTAAATTTTGTTGTTTATTGACCTCCTTCCTCCACTACGATCACCTTCCCATCCCCTTTCCGTTGCTACTACTTTTCCTGCAGACCTCCTTATTGTTATCATTTCCTCCTCGACCTCCTTGTTCCATCGTAATCCTCTTTCGTATTGTAGCCCATTTCCTTTGCCATAACCCATGTCCCTTGTTGTGAACCATAGTTACGAACTCCTTTTCAACCCTTTATGCCTTTCACAATTGAGATCGGGATTGAGAGAGTAGGGTATTTCAGGGGGGAAAATGAAGGAAAAAATAAGAAGAAAGAACAAAAGAAGAAGAACTAAGAAGGAGTAGAGGAAGGTGGAGATGCATCGTAAAGAGGAGTTAGAGGTGATAGTAGTGATGGTGACAGTGATGGTGGCTGGGGAGATAGTGGCGAAGGGATGATTGGGTTTAGAAATTATAGTTAGATATTTTATGATTTTGTGTCTTTTTGGAAAATTTTATATAGGGGAAAAATTATAATAAAAAAATAAAAAGCATAGTGTAAATGAATCACCTAAATCCTTCCATCTCAATTTAATAATCTAAAAGTTTAACTCAAAATTTTACTTTAGTTATAATTATTTTAATTTAAAAATTTAATCCTTACATTTTAAAGCAAACTTTAATTTGGTCATTTTGTTTAATTTGAACGTTAAAATTGATGAATTTGTAACACATGTTAATTTCTTGAGATATACACAGAAAAATATCGACTATTTAAACAAATGATCAAAATGAAACTGTACTTAAAGTATACGGTCTAAATTATTCAAAATTAAAACAATAAAGTTAAAAGTGGGTTTTTGTAGATTGAAAAGTGTAATTTATTAATCGGATAAATTACATATCTTTATACTTCCATCATAATCCCATTTTGATCTATTCACTTTCAATTATAACAATTAATTCCCTACATCTTAAATCAAAAGTTTCAATTTTACTGTTCTGTCCATCTACTATTAATAAAAGTAATGAAAATCGAAAATGAAGGGACTAAAATGTGATTTTAGTAAAATTGTAAGATTGTTAATAAGATAACAAATATGTTATATATGCTTTGAATAATAAATTTTGTCAACTTTGTTAGCTATAGATCGATAAAATGGTGAGATTGTAACTTGATTTAGAGGGTAAAGAGTTGATTAATATAATTAAAAGTGGAGAGATGAAAGTAAAATTTTGGTAAAAAGTATAAATTACGCCTTAAATATGACTTTAGAAGCTGTTTGGATACGCAAAATGTCGAATCCTTCCATAGCACTACAACAACGTCTTGTTTGGAAACAGAAAGGCGCTGGATAAGAACGTGCGCACCATAGATAAAATGGGCTCATCACATCCCAGCGCAAATTAGGGTTCCTCCTCAAAAATTCCCAGCTCCACCTTCTTCTCTTCTCTCAATGGATCCATCACCTCTATCTCTTTCTCTCTCTTCTTCTTCCATGTAAATTTCATCTTTCCCGCCATAATTTGCAGATTCAAAGACTCTGAAATGAAAACACTTGTTTCGTTTTGGTGAATTTCTGTGAGTACCCACAAAACCCATTTGCATTTTCTCTTGAATTTCTGATACTGGGCATTGGTTAGTACTGTGAATTCGTTGGAATCATTAGTGGATATAGCTGTTTCTGTGTATATATATACATGTAATTTGGTAGTTATTAGTGAATTTGATAGACAATGGATTCATCACTGGGTGACAATTGGTGACAACAAACAGATAATTTAGGAAAAATTTGATCTTTTCACGCCATAATTTCCAGATTTAAAGACTCTGAAATGAAAACATTTGTTTCGTTTTGGTGATTTTGTGCGAGTACCCACAAGACCCATTTGTGTTTTCCCTTGCATTTGTGATAGTGGGCATTGATTAGTAGTGTGAATTAATTGGAATCATTAGTGGATGTAGCTGTTTCTGTGTATATACATATATTTTGGTTGGGTTTAGTGAATTTGATAGACAATGGATTCATCATTGGGTGACAATTGGTGACAACTAATATAAATGCAATCGAAGTTTGTGGCCAAATTTGGAAAATTTGATCTTTTGATTTAAGAAGAATAGATTTTACAATGTAAATTGTTGAAAATTGAAATTACTTGCTCTGGATGCTTGTTTTAGCATGAATGTTATACAAATATATCAAACAAAAGAATGCTAGAAAATGCCAGAGTAGTTGTTCCAACTGTAATTGCATAATTTGCATTAATATTGAGCACAATTTCTAGGTCTATAATTGTTGTTGAATTTGAGTTGATCGAGTCAGTTACCTAGACAGCACATTCTTTTTAGAATGGTCCTATCAAATGTTATTTATTAGAAGAAAACCTTACATATGTATGCATTTTAGTGTATCACATACGTTGTGCTTTCATTATTTACATCAATTGACATTGATATTGATTAGTCAAGTTGCCATAAGAATTGAATTGGCTGGAGAATTGATGGTTTATTTATTTATTTGGGCTAAAGAATGGAATGTTTGCTAGTAATACCAAACCAAACCAAACCAAGTCTTAAGTTCCATCAAATGGAGTCGGCTGGGATGTTCGCAAATAATGTTGAAAGTAAAAGATTCATTGGAAAGGATGCAATTTGTTAATTGTCAATTGATTGAAGATGTTTCTACAAAATGCTTTAGTTATTTCATTATGTGAATTGCTAGGAAGGGAAACCCAAGGCATGAATTATCAATCCAATCATATCAGTTTGGGTTGACAACCTGTAGATCAGGGGCTCAACTCCAATTGTTAGCTTCCTGAAAAACAAAATGAAGGCATGAACCAGTGGAAGAAGCTCAGCATTTCTGATTTTGAAGGGCACTAAAGGCTTTCTTGTAGCTCAAGTTAGGCATAATACGTTTTCCTGTTTTTTGTTCTAATTCATATTTTTTTCCTGGAAACAAAATTAAAAACATACTTAAATGATGTAGATAAGGTGTTATAATTTCCCAGAAAATCCAGCTAGCACGTTATTGGTAATTTAGAGGGAATTAATACCTAGTTCTATTAGTTGATAAAAATGATAAATTCAGCAGATATTAATTATTAGATGGTCTGTGTCTCATAACATTTATTGCTATGTATTAATACTGACTTCATATTAGAATCCTCCCTCCCTCCCTCTTTCTCTCCACTTTTATTCCCAGTGTCATTGTAAACAAACCATATGTTTTCTTACTTATTATAATAGTCATCATTGTGTTTGTCAACACAGTTATTACCCTATTGGTGCATATATCTATGTCCTGCTGATTTGTAAGTGCAAGATAGACAGTTATAACAGGTTGAGAAGCATTGTTATCAAATGACATTCTTTTAAGAAACTATTCCTTACCAACTTCTCAATTTTGTGCGCTATTGAAGCTTCACTTCATGAGGGTTATCTGTTCACTTCCTTCAGTTGTATCTGTTACACTAACTTAGAGTCATAGAAAGTAGTTAAGTAATCTGCAAACTTTTTGATAAATAGTTAATGGGAATGGGTTACGTACCACTTTGAGGAGTGGTATAAAGCTTCTTTTGGAAAATTGAAAGCGGTTTGGACATCTGTGTATTTTCTTTTGGGTTAATTTTTGAGAAAGTGACTTGCTGTTTTTATGGAATGCTTTATACTGGAGATAAATTATGTTCATAATAATCTGCTTTTTTGAAGAGTGCTGGGGATCCGACTTAGCAGGATGGATATAATGTGGGTGTTTGGGAAGTTGCTATTTTAGTAGGCTATTTTAGTTTTTGGCTATTTTAGTAGGCTAAAATTTGTGTTTGGGAAGATGATTGGATTTTTTTTGTAGTTGGATGTGATATTTGTGAGAGAAAAAGTGAAATGATTATGGGTTTGATGTGATAATTTGTCTTATTAACTATTTTAGCCTATTTTGTCTTTTTGTGAATTTTAGCCTAAAAGAGGCTAAAATCTTTCTTCCCAAACACCCCAATGTATTGATTGGTGGCATCACCCGTACGTTGAATAACCTATAGGAGTGGTTTCCCTACCTGCCAGCTGTTCTTTTTGAGTCATAATTTTGAGTTGCTATCTGAAGTGGTGCTTCATCTTGTTACATCATATCAATTCATTTTGGCCCGGGATTCTATAGTATCTATGGATTTCTGACACTTTGATTATGCTGTTAGAAAAAGTTAAAAAAAGAAGCAATTCTTGTGAACTATAAATTTGAGCCATCTTCTCTATTGATGAACTTGTATACATCAAGACTTGATGTGTGTTTTTGTGTTACTTATGTGGCCTCCAACATTTGATGCATGTCTTTATCTGCACAAACGTGCTCTTATTCTTTATACTAACTTGTACCAGGTTTCACCTATTAATTTTAAAAGGTACTTATGTGTGTGTGTCTTCTGTGTCGTAGGTGGCTTGTTTGTGTGTTGTTTGTGTGCGTATGCATGTTAATCTGTTGGGTATTGGATTCTTTATTGGAATTGTGCCATTGGTTAAAGATACTAAACCTGTTTCTCTCACTTTGGATGACTTTTGATAGGGTAGGTAGCAAATGTTCTTACCTTAACTTTGGGTGGTTACTGAGAAGTATTATATAATGTCTGAAGAGGCTGGGCAGATGATGGTGATGTATGACGATCCCTCAGATCAAAGATCTTTGTCTCTGGATGATACAAGCAGCACAGAGGAATCACCAGATGAAACCAGGCTCTCACTAGAAACCACAAATGATGTGGTTCCTTACATAGGGCAGAGGTTTGCTACTCACGATGCTGCTTATGAATTCTATAGTGAATTTGCCAAGCGTTGTGGCTTCTCAATCCGGCGGCATCGCACAGAAGGGAAAGACGGGGTTGGCAAAGGGCTTACAAGACGCTATTTTGTCTGCCACCGTGCTGGAAACACTCCTGTCAAAACTTCAAACGAAAATAAACCTCAAAGAAACCGAAAATCCTCTAGGTGTGGATGCCAAGCATACTTGCGGATAAGCAAGACAACAGAATTAGGAGCACCAGAATGGCGTGTTACGGGTTTTGCAAACCACCATAATCACGAACTCTTGGAACCGAACCAAGTCCGTTTCCTTCCTGCGTACCGCACAATATCAGATACTGATAAGAGCCGGATTCTCATATTTGCCAAGACTGGAATTTCAGTGCAGCAGATGATGAGGCTCATGGAGCTTGAGAAGTGTGTAGAGCCTGGATATTTGCCATTCACAGAGAAGGATGTCAGGAACTTACTTCAATCATTTAGGAAAGTGGATCCGGAGGATGAGAGCATAGACTTGTTAAGAATGTGTAGAAACATAAAGGACAAAGATTCAAACTTCAGATTTGAGTTTACACTTGATTCAAACAACCGGTTGGAGAACATTGCTTGGTCGTATGCTTCATCGGTCCAGTCATATGAGATCTTTGGTGATGCAGTGGTATTCGATACAACACATCGCTTAAATGCTTTTGACATGCCTCTTGGGATATGGGTTGGAATGAATAATTATGGAATGCCTTGCTTCTTTGGTTGTGTACTTCTCCGAGAGGAAAACTTGAGGTCCTTCTCTTGGGCTTTGAAGGTAAGCAAGCGAAAACAAGATATTTTTGTGAATTCACCTCTCAACTTTATTCTGCAAATTCATTTAGGAAGCTTACACTTATCAAAAAAAGAAAAAAGAAAAAAAGAAGCCCAATTGGGAGGGGTTAGATTGGGTACATACCTAACCTCGGGCATAACTTTATACTTATCAAAAAAATTAAAAGAAAATAATGAAAAGGAAAAATGTTATTGGGCACCTTATGTCTGTGCTTCAGTGCCTAACTGTTGGTTCTTCCCAGAATTCAAATTGGACCAGAAAGAACTCATTTTCAAGTGGATATCTGGCTTAATTGTTGGTAATGAACTTTCACACACATGTACACAAGGGCATACCTATTTTTTACCCAAAGATTTTGACTATTAACTATTTAATTTATGTTTGATGATGATATTCTGTTTTTGTATTGTAAATGTCACAGGCATTCTTGGGGTTCATGAATGGGAAGGCTCCACAAACATTATTAACCGACCAAAATATGTGTCTCAAAGAAGCAATAGCAGTGGAGATGCCGGCTACAAAACATGCACTGTGCATTTGGATGATTGTTGCAAAGTTCCCATCCTGGTTTAATGCTGTTTTGGGGGAACGTTACAATGAATGGAAGGCTGAGTTCTATCGACTCTATAATTTGGAGGCAATCGAGGATTTTGAATTGGGGTGGAGAGACATGATTAATTCCTTTGGGCTGCATACTAATAGGCATATAACCAATTTGTTTGCTTTGCGGTCGCTATGGGCGTTGCCATACTTGAGAAGCCATTTCTTTGCGGGGATGACTACAACTGGCCAGTCAAAGTCAATTAATGCTTTTATTCAACGGTTTTTGAGTGCACAAACCCGGCTCGCACACTTTGTGGAACAAGTATGCTCTCTTTTCTTATTGCTATTTAATTGGATCAAATCTATATATATATTTGATAACTGGGTATCCAGGTCAGCTTGCGCGCATCTCGACTAATCCTAGGGCTCTGAAGTTGATGACTAGGCCAACCTTCACTGGCCCCCCTTGGGGTGACTCGAACTCTGATCAAATCTATCACATTATTTTATAGTTGTGATGTGTATGTGTGTATGTGTTAACTACAGAAATGGAGGGATGCTTATTTTCTTTCACATTTTTGTCTTTATCTTGAACACAATTTGAATTAGGATTTGCCTATAAAAGTTATGGCTTGTTAGAATTTTCCATTATATTATTGGATATGCTCCATTCAAATCCCTATCTTTTGAGCCCCTAGCCACTGCCTCCTCCTAGAGGAATGAAGTAAGGTTGTTGGATGTCTACTGGTCTCTTCGGCATCTTTAACATTATGTAAGCTATAAATCTCTGGTTACTTGACTTAGAAACAAAATTACAATGAATAAAATTCATTATGATCGCTTTCTTTCATTTAATTAATGTTCATTCTGCATATGTTAAATCTAGGGATGACAATGGGGTGGGGTTTTTTTTTCTGGGGTTCCTGTTTCCCACCCCACCCTCAATCCACCGATATGAAATTGGTAAAAAATTGAGAATTTTATGCTTTGTGCAACCATGAAAGATAGCCTACTAATACGTTTTGATTTGTTATTGGCATTAAGAAGAAAAATCTAATTAAAAACTAAAAAACAAAAATCACTCTTGCTGCTACTACTGACCTTGCACACACAGGTGGCCGTTGCTGTGGATTTCAAGGATCAAGCAGGAGAACAACAAACGATGCAACAGAACCTCCAAAACATTTGCCTCAAGACAGGGGCCCCAATGGAATCTCATGCAGCAACAATCCTCACACCTTTTGCGTTCTCTAAGCTCCAAGAACAACTTATTTTGGCTGCACACTATGCGTCATTTCAGATGGAAGATGGTTTCCTTGTTAGACACCACACAAAACTCGAGGGAGGCCGGAAAGTCTACTGGGTCCCACGGGAAGGTATCATAAGTTGCAGCTGCCACCAGTTTGAGTTCTCTGGGATCCTTTGTCGGCATGCTCTTCGTGTCCTCTCTACCGGAAATTGTTTTCAAATCCCAGAAAGGTATCTTCCCCTCCGTTGGCGCCGAATCAGCACACCGTCCACAAGGCTCCTTCAGAGTACTCCAAGTGATCACGCAGAAAGAGTTCAGTTGTTCCAGAGTATGGTATCAACACTTATAACAGAGTCGGCCAAGTCAAAAGAACGGCTTGATATTGCAACGGAGCAAGTTTCCATACTACTATCTCGGATAAGAGAGCAGCCAGTGCTGTCGCAAGGTATGAGAGACATCTCCTCCATCCACAGGAATCTTTGAATTTAGTTGATATTCGCATGATTTAGCATATTCAAAAGTGAGAGAAACATGCAAAAATGTGGTGATGACAAGTTAGCTGGTTTTGTAAAGCTAGTTTTCCAAGATGGGTTTCCTTTGTAAAAGGGGTGAGAGCTGGCTTGTGGGCTAATATTCCTTGCATGGAATTTTTGTAGTTTTGATGCATTCAATCACAATCACTTGGTGTTGTCTTTCTTAGACATCATGGACAGTGAAAGATTTCACACGGAATCTATTATGTAAAGATATCTATGGAAAAAGGAGATTTTCTTTTGCAAGACTGCATGTGCTCATATTTTTTGTTTGTCTGTTTTTAATTTTTGACAAAATGTGCTTGTCATGTTAATCATGAACCTAGACCCTCTAGGGGTAGTATGCGAGTTTGAACTCTTGACCGTGGTGTGGTTGCGTTCGTCGTGCTTCGTTGAGATCAAAGTTAATCATGAATGGTGGATATCTATTGCCAGTGGGATAGTGTTTGTGGCTAACTTACATGCTGTGCCTTCGCGTGCTTGTGTGCTGTGCCTTCATGCGCTTTTGTTTTTGTTTTTGTTTTGAAAGAGATTCATCATTCTTATCACCGCAGAGTTCAAGGCTCTTGTTATTTGATGGATTGTGTAGTTACCACTGTTTAAACGCCATCCGTGCTTTGATTTGTTAGTTTTAGTAATTGTAACAAATTTCTTTGTAAGTTTTAATTTGTATCGCGTCTATTGTATCTATACTATACATACATAGTTGTAGATTTGCTCTTATTTATATTCTTCTGTTTAGGTAGTTGAGGAGGTTGTCCAGACTCTATTGGGTGAACTATAAGGTTGTAGCTTCTGGTTCAGTTCACATGGAGCTGGTGTATTTTGGCTATGGCTGGGGTGGGATGGGGTGGGGTGGGGTGGTCCATGTTTTTGAAACAGATGTAAAACTTTTTCCTCCGCCCTTGGAGCTCAGGGTGAATCCCATTCTGTCTTCCCAAAACACCACGTTGGTTGTCTTGTTCAATAACAAAGATTATGTGCTTATATAGTCTAAAAAATAAGAATAATGGTGGACAAATCACAAAACACCATTGGTCAGGAAGACTGTTACAGGAGTTTTGGATACATGAAAAAAAAAAACCAGGAGAAAAAAAGGGGCTTTAGTAGTTTTTTTCCCCCTTCAAAATTTAAGCTATATATATATATATATATATATTTAAATTAGGAGGCCCTAGCAGCAACCATTTATATATGTAATTTTGAAGGCCACCATATTCATCAAGGCCCTAGCAGCAACCATTTATAAATGATGAGTTCAATATGTAAATTCATGTAAAGCGCATCGAAGGCATTTGATCTTTTTTTGTGTTTTGTCACAAAAGCCATTTTAATCTAGGGAAAATTTTAGTCTAAGATCCTTTTTTTCATTTTTAGAAATGGAAGAAATCCACCATATTATTTTATAATGTGTAAGGTTCCTCAACTCTAAACAACACTCTCTCTCTCTTGTATGGACCCAAGCCTCTCTGCAAAATTCCAGTCTATCCCTATGCTGTGTTTGGTTGGGGGATTTGGAGAGGGATTTGGAAAGGAAAATGGAAAAGGTAGGTGAAATGTGAATAAATCATGCTTATATTTCACATAGTTTCACACACCTTTTCCCTTTCCCTTTCCAAATCCCTCCCCAAATCCTCCAACCAAACACACTATTAATCTCTTTTCCCTACACTTTCTTCATCCTATTGCTCTTTCCTACTCCATTTCGATCCCTTCCTAGACAATATCTGGGATTCGGCCACAATGTAAGGCCACGAGGCCATCACTATTGGAGAAGTACCACGCAATGGCACTAGATTTTTCAATTTACCATGATGTCTCTTCTTCGGTATTCGGATTAGACCACATCTTCGCCACCTCTTCGGCATTCTCTGATGCTCCAACAATGGTGACTCAACTTCGACGAAGTGCCTCGGAAGAAGAAGAAGTTTTAAGTGCAATTCGAGCTAAAGTTCGGCGTGGATGAGATTTGAGAGGAGGGATGTGAAGGCGGGTTTGAGAGAAGTTGAGGCTCCGAGGAGTTGGATGACAAGGTTATAAGGGAGGACATCGGTGTTCTCAAAGCCGGGAGAGAGGCCATGGTCGGAGTTGTTGAAGGCGATTTCAAGGAGGCCGATAATGGAGGTGGGTGGGATTGATTGTTGGAGTTTGATGATGTTGAGTGTGCTGCTGCAGCTGCTTATTTGATGTAGAAAGAAAATGGTGATGATGATAATGATGATGAAGGCTATCAAAAAAAATTCTTTGGAGTGGTTTAAATTTTCTCTAGATCAAGTAAGAACAAAGTAGAGAAATTTTGAATTTCTTTGTAGTGGTTTGAATTTTCTCTGGATCAGGTAAAAACAAAGCAAAGAAATTTTGAATTTATTTAGAGTGCTTTGAATTTTCTTTGGATCAGGTAAGAACGAAGCAGAGAAATTTTGAAGCCTTGTGAATGCATCCTGTAATAAATAATAGATTTATAGTCCAAAGAAATTCTCAACAATTCAAATTTATAGTCTAGAGAAATTCTCAACAATAATGAAGCCTTGTGAATTAGAATTTCTTTGTGAAGTCTAGAGAAATTCTCTGTGAACCAGAATTTCTCTGTGAAATCCAGAGAAAATTCATCCAGAAAAATTCTCTAGATCAAATTTTCTCTGGATCGATATTGAGAGACTTTAGACATTATGAAAATATTGAGTGTCTTTTATGCTATAAAATCTGAGCAATGCTGGGGACCCCCAGTGGGGGGCGACCCCCAGCACCCCCAGTGACAGTTGGCACACTGTCACTGGCCAAAACCAAAGAAAAAAAAAAAAAAAAAAAAACAGTTTTTGAGCCAATCAGAGATGACCCCCAGCACCCCCACTGGGGGTCCAACTCATTTTCCTCCCATTAATATTGAACATTCCATAGATAAAAAAGATTTTTTTTAGGTCCTAGTAAATTAAGATTTTATGGGACAAGCCTAAGAGGTGCCTGTGTTGAATAAGTTTATTATTATTATTATTATTATTATTTTATTATTTATTATTATTATTATTATTATTTTACATTTTGCTAAAATAGATTTATTTTAATATTTAGCTTTTTAAAATCACATCCAAAGTCGTCTTCCTTCTGTGCTTTTTTTTTTTATTTTTATTTTTTTGTTGTTTTAACTGGTAAAACAAATTATATATTAATAAAAGATACATAAGTTCAGATACAAAACAACCACAAAAACGCAAAGAACTAAGATATGAACATAGAATCCTAATCAGTGTGTTTAGTTTTAATTTTTTGAAAATTAAATTATTTTTTTATTTTTTATTTTTTGTTTTTAGTGAATATTTTTAAAATTTTAAGTAATTTTTTTTATATATATTTTTTTAAATGCATCTTACTTAGGTATATCTAAATAATAAAATATTTGTGAAAAAATATTTTAAAAAATTAATAAATACACAAAAATTGTATTGAATTTTTATGTTTTTTTTTTTATATTTTTGGTATCAGCACTGCTGGGACCCCACTGGGGGTTAGCACTCTTACCTCCACGTGGGGGACAGCAAGTGAAAGACAAAAAAATCAAAATATGGACCAATCAAAAAACAGTGGGGGTGGTGGGGGTCAACCCCACTGGGGTCTAAGACATTTTTCTTTTGGTATTTAGTGAATTTTTTGAAGATTTTTTTTCACAAATATCATATTTTTTAAGTGTATTTATGTTAGGTGTGTCTAAAAATTTAAAAAATTACTTAAAATATTAAAAAAATCCAGTGAAATAAAAAATATGAAAAATAAAAAAATAAAATTTTTTGAAACCCAAAACCAAAACCAAACAAAGTGAATAGCATAAAAAAACCAAAATCAAAAGAAATGATAGCAGACCCATCAGCAACACAACCAGTTAAGTACAAGTGGAACAAAGGATTAGGCATGTGGTTGAAGGTTTCTACTCTGTGAGACTTGAAAAAGGCTTGGCTCGTTGTAAGTATTCACAATAACAAACCCCCTTTGGCGTTTTTTTCATGTTAGAAATGATTCATCCCTCTAATTTGAAAGTTTTAAACAGAACTCTAATAACTTGACAATGAAAAAAAAAAATAAAAAAGGACACAACCATCAAATTATTGTGGAACCCACATACCATTAGAGCTCTTCTTTTAGAGATTCCAATTTTTTTTTTTGTTTCATACACCATAAAGCTGTGGATGTGCACCAACTATAGTAGACTTGACAACAACTCTTCATCCTCACTCTTCGAATTTGTTATTGCACTGCACTACCATTGACAAACTCCTATAGCCAAACTCGGCTCCTGTGAAATTATTGCCTAAACTTTCTACCACATGTGATTGATATGCTTGGATATTTATATTGTCGAAGAGAGGAGTAATACAATGGCAAAGCCTCTTCTATTGCCGGGCTCTGCTATTCCATTCTCCATCCTTAGATTAAATACATATAATTATGTTTTTGATTGCTCTAAAAAATAAAAAAATCTCATGATCAAGGGCATAAATAAATAATGTCACATTAAAATAGGATGCCATGAACCCCCAAGGGTTGGCCTAGTGGTGGAGGATTGAGATTTAGGAGTTTGCTTCTCTTTAGGTCTCAAGTTCAAAACCTCTTAGGTGCTATCAACTCTTGTGTTAGGTTAGTCCATACGGAGCTCTGCTCTGGCTTTAAATGGGCCCTCCGCTAGTGGACGGTGGGATTGGTTCTCCAGGGATTAGTCGAGGTGCGCGCAAGTTGACCCGATACCCTGAGTTATCAAAAAAATAGGATGCCATGTTATCTTTGAAGGAAAAAAAATGCGTGACATTTTAAAATTCTCAAAAGTAAAAAGTAGCAAGAGTCTTTCAATGAAAAAAAAAAAAAACTCAATCACTTATGCTGTGTTTGGTTGGGAGATTTGGGAAGAGATTTGGGAAAGAAAAGAGAAAAGATGTGTGAAATTAGAAATGAAAAAAGAAAGTGAAATGTGAATAAAATATACTTACATTTCACCTAATTTCACACATTTTTTCTCTTTTCTTTTCCAAATCTCTTCCCAAATCCCCCAACCAAACACAGAATTAAGAGATCCATTTTCAAATTCTTTGTTACGTATCTCTTAAAAGCTTGCTTGTTTTTTTTGTATTTTTTTTAAATGTTGTCAACTGCTTGTTCATAAAATTTTAAAAAAAAAAAATTCTTGGCGAACCTAGTTGGAAAAAGAGGCAGACCCCCACTGGGGTGACCCCCAAGGCCCAGTGGGCTCTGATTGGGTAATTTTTTTTTTGTTTTTTTTGAGCCAATGACCAACCCCCATGTGTGTGTAGAGGGGGAGACTTTACTGGGGTCTCTAGCAAAGTTGAACCTGGTTTCTTATGAGTGCTTGGCAACTGTTTTTTATTTATAAAAAATATGAAACATATTTATTTTTTATTTTTGTTAAAAAAATTAAAAACATTATGTATTTGGGAATAAATCTCTGAAAAGCTGGTTTTTTTTATATTTTTTTAATATAAATGTTGACAACTTGTTCATAAATTAAAAAAAAAAAAATCTTGGCTAACCTAGTTTCTTATTAGTGTTTGGCAGCTGTTTTTTTTATTTATAAAAAATATGAAACATATTTATTTTTTTTGTTAAAAAAAATTAAAAACATATTTGATACACAATTTAAAAAATTTGTTTTGAAAATAAGTATTGTGTCTAGGAAGGAAAGAGTTTACGAGTAGGGATGGCCACGGGGCGAGTTTGTCATCTCTACCCCCACTTTCAAACCTCACCCCCCACCCCTGCTCCCGTCCCAACCCCATTACGGGTAGAATTTTTCAACCCCATCCTCGCTCCTCCGATACTTGAGGATACTCGACCACATTTTAAATAACCAAAAAAATTGAGAATCATTAAAATCTTTAACATACTAAATAATTTTTCTTATTTTCATATATATATATTTATATATTATAATTATATCGGGTCGAGTTTGGATCAGGGGAAGCGATATCAGCCCCCCGCCGCACTCCCGTTGTGGGTGACCAAAACATAATCCACCCCCACCCCCACATAAGTATTAGATCGGGTAAAATCCACTCCATTCGGGTGGGTATGGGTGGGCTCCCGTGAATCAGATTAAAATGGTCATCCCTAATTATAAGTGATTGGAAACGGTGATAATTCATTAGAGGTGATCAGAAGTGGCCGAAGGTAATAGAGTGATATTTTTTAGAGGGATAAAATAATGAAAAATTATTTAGTAAAATTTAAAAATTATTTTCATTTTAGAAAATAAAAATATATAGTAAATAAAATTTTATTTTGGGTAAATTACATTGACACCCCTTGAGGTTTGTCTTTTAATACAAGTACCCCCCTCACATTTTGAAAATTACATCCCTTCCAAAAGATTTAAACTTTCATTACAATTTTAATTATTCCATTAGTCAACCGTTAAGTCAACTAACGAAAAATACCAATATAAGAAATTAATTTTTTAAAATACATATTTTACTCTTATTAAAAAAAATTACTAGGTGAGTAAAGAAAATTTACAAGAAATTACAAAAATTCATTTAATACATATATTATTATACAATTAAACATTTAGGTAATGCTATGAAATATTTTAAAAACCGGACTGATAAACGAATCAGAAAAGTAACCGGGCGGACGGGTCATTGATTTAACCGTGGGTGAACCAGAATTGAATCGTAATGTCATAAATATATTAAAATTTGTAAGTATAAAAAATATAGATATTAAAATTATAAAAATAATAAATAATAAACAATTACAAAAATATATATATATATTTTTTTTTTTTTGCATTTTTTATACATTGATTTTTAGTAAAAATAATTAAGATAATACTGAATATATAGTATATATATTTATTGCATTGTCAACAATTGTGTTGCTGGTATAATGGTTTGAGTGCTTACTTTTTATGCACTTGGTTCCATGTTCAAACCCTGTCCACAATATATTTTTGAAAGAAATTTCAATTCTTCAAACCTTATCGATTCTTATGTTGACCTGTGGACCGGTTTGCTGGTTCTTTCGGTTTTCAAATTGTAAGTCAGTTTTGAGCATAGTCCAGATTTGGAGGGTTATCAAGACTGGAACTAGGTTCAACCGATCCAACCGGTTTGTCTGATCTGGGTTTTCAAGCATTGATGCTATGGTACACAAGCTTTTGTGCTATTAATTATCACAAATATTATAATTAAGTCTTCGTTTGGTATTGGCTTTTTTAGCTGATTTTTTTGTATTAGAACTTTTTTAGTCTCGTTTGGTTTGGTTTTTTTTGGCTTTTGTGAGAAAAAAGTGTAATGATTATGATTAAAATATAATATTTTGTCTCATTGGTTTATATAGTCAATTTTGCCTTTTTTGTATTTTTTTTAGCCAAAAATCTTTAGCCAAACGAAGCCTAAATTATTTTCAATCATAACTAAAAAAATAGTTATAATGAAACACCGCATAAGGTATAACCACCAGATGCCTTTTGAATTATAACCAAAATAATGTTATAATCAATAGTTATAACTAATATCATAATAGTTCATAACCAAAAACCATGACTAGGGTATATGAAGTTTTCCTAAATGGTAAATTATTTGTCAATTTTATATAGGGCTGGGCATAGGGTCACAAATCTTATAATTAAATTATTTTCAATTATAACTAAAAAAATAGTTATAATCAAACATCACATAAGATATAATCATCAAATGCCTTTTGAATTATAACCAAAATAATGTTATTATCAATAGTCATAACTAATATTATAACATTTCATAACCAAAGACCATGACTAGAGCATATAAAATTTTCCTAAACAATAAATTGTTTGTTAATTTTATATAGGGCTGAGCACCCCTAATTTTATATATACAAACAAAGATAAATAGGCATTTTAAAAAATTAATTTTTTATATTATTTTTTTCTGTTAATGGACTTAATGATTAATTAACAAAAAGATTATATTGTAATGAAAATTTAAATTTAAATCTTGGGATGAGATTATAATTTTCCTAAACTTTTATTCTTAGAGTGAATTCCTACACTGATCTCCTACAGTGATCCATGGCTGGCCGACATGTGTCCCACTCAACTTTTAAGGGCTGAGATCCAAACTCAAAAAAACGATATGGTTTTGGTAAGTAATTTGCAAAAGAAAGAAAAAAAAATTCGGATTTCTTTCTTTTGAAGTCGTTCCTTTTCCTGTGAAGCATGAGAGAGAGAGAGAGAGAGAGAGAGAATGGCTGAGAGAAGGAGAGAAGGAGGCTGGTTTTCAAAACCCAGATTGAAAAACTCGGAAGATTCTAATCAAGCACGACGATAATCTGAGGCCTTTGAGTTGAAAGAGTGAATTTGGAATCGAAAATTAAAGAAAGCCAAGACATGGAAATGGACTTGAATCTAAACAGAGAATTGACTATGAGAACCACAGTCTCTTCTGGTAGGTGGTATGGGAATTGGATTGGGTTTATTCTGATTTTGGTTTTATGAGAATTGGGTTTCATCTTCTTCCTAGCTCCATTCTCATCCAATACTAGGGTTTTTCACTGAGAAATCCAATACTAGATTGTTATATATTCATTTCGTTTTCAATTTATATTTATAAAAATTTTAAAAGAAACTTGTTTGGTAATTTTTTTAATTTATGAATGATTGTCTTAGTTTATAAATTAAACAAAAAATATAAACTAAAAAAATGAGTTTACTTAATTTTTTTTTAAATAATTTTTTTTAAAATATTTTTTTTTCAATTAATTTTTTTAATTATTTTTTTAATTAATTTTTTATAATTTTTCTTGAAATAAATTTTTTTTTAATTATAATGTGTGTGATCTCATTATCATAAATAACAAAAATAAATATAAATATTTTAGATTATATTTTTTAGTTTATGTTTTTAAATTTTTTTAAATATTTTGTTCAAACTAAACGTATTTATAATTTATATTTTTTTAAAAATAAATAATATCAATTTATAAAATTTTTATAAACATAAATAAAAAATGTAAACCTTACCAAACAATACTTATATATTTTTTGTTCCGTTTTTGTTACTGATGCATATCCATTGGATGTGGTTCTCATGTAAGATGTATATGTGAAGAGTTTGTGTTTGTGTGAGAAAATAATTTTATATTCAAACTGTTAAAGTGTTTTAATTGTTGGAAATCAAAACGAGAAGGTTGAGGGTGGAAGGAATTGGTGATAAGGTAGGGATGATGGTGGTGATTTTGGGACGTTGATGATAGTATCCTAGGTGTAGGGTTTTGGGGGAAGGGGAAGAAGGGGGCTGGGAGAAGAAAGAGGAAAGAGGAGCAGGTGAAAGAGGGGATTGGACGGAGCCAGATTCCAGCCGACGGAGGAGGAGGGGGCTGGGTGAAATCGCCGGCAACGGGAAGAAGGGGAAAGGACTGGGCGAGATTCCAGCTTTATTTTTTGTTGTTTTTTTTTTTTTTGGGCAAATTACATATACACCCCTCGAGGTTTGGTTAAATTACAGATACCCCTGAGATTTCGGAAATTACATCCCGCCCCCTGAGGTTTGTATTTTCATAACAATTTACCCTCTGAGGTTTATATTTCATAACAAATTACCCCCTAATTTCTTATGCAAATATAGCATTCAGGGGGAATTCGTAATTTCTCAAACCTCAGGGGTATCTGTAATTTAGCCAAACCTCGAGGGGTGTATATGTAATTTGCCCTTTTTTTTTGGAACGATCGTTATTTTTTCTTGCTGTTAACGAAAACGACGTCGTTTCGTGAGAAAAGATCCCAGCCATTCACCACTTTTGTGTGACAGGTGTCACGCTCTAAATTTTTCACTGCACCAAATCACTCTAGAGGATCTTAACGCTTTAAGCGTGAATGCGTTCATTCTCAAAGGCCCTTTCGCTCCTCTCTCGCTCTTTCCTCTTCAGCTATTTACAGGTTCTCTCTCTTTGGTTGCACCACTGAAGCATTGCATGTCACACTGAGTGTAGATGACAGTTGTTAGATTTAATTTTACATTTCAATTGTTAGTTTTTCTCTTCTCCTTTCATTTCATGCTTTGCTTGTTCTTTCCATTAACTTTTTTATTTTTTTTTGGGATTAAATTTAATTATTCTACTTCCTATACTTATATATTTTTTGTTCCGTTTTTGTTACTGATGTATATCCATTGGATGTGGTTCTCATGTAAGATGTATATGTGAAGAGTTTGTGTTTGTGTGAGAAAATAATTTTATATTCAAACTGTTAAAGTGTTTTAATTGTTGGAAATCAAAACGAGAAGGTTGAGGGTGGAAGGAATTGGTGATAAGGTAGGGATGATGGTGGTGATCTTGGGACGTTGATGATAGTATCCTAGGTGTAGGGTTTTGGGGGAAGGGGAAGAAGGAGGCTGGGAGAAGAAAGAGGAAAGAGGAGCAGGTGAAAGAGGGGATTGGACGGAGCGAGATTCCAGCCGACGGAGGAGGAGGGGGCTGGGTGAAATCGCCGGCAACGGGGAGAAGGGGAAAGAACTGGGCGAGATTCCAGCTTTATTTTTCGTTGTTTTTTATTTTTTTGGAACGATCGTTATTTTTTCTTGCTGTTGTTGTCTCTAACGAAAACGACGTCGTTTCGTGAGAAAAGATCCCAGCCATTCACCACTTTTGTGTGACAGATGTCACGCCCTAAATTTTTCACTGCACCAAATCACTCTAGAGGATCTTAACGCTTTAAGCGTGAATGCGTTCATTCTCAAAGGCCCTTTCGCTCCTCTCTCGCTCTTTCCTCTTCCGCTATTTCCAGGTTCTCTCTTTGGTTGAAGCATTGCATGTCACACTGAGTGTAGATGACAGTTGTTAGATTTAATTTTACATTTCAATTGTTAGTTTTTCTCTTCTCCTTTCATTTCATGCTTTGCTTGTTCTTTCCATTAACTTTTTTATTTTTTTTGTGATTAAATTTACTTATTCTACTTCCTATATTCGATTTTAACTTAATTAGGGCTTATACACACAAATTTATACATACATATAATCCTTATTCTCGTTTTGTTGATAAAAATCATATTGGTTTAAAAAGGATAAGGAAAAAAGAATAAAAGAGAAAGCTAGAAAAATTGGGTCTTTTCTTCCCAGATTGATTGATGGTATTTTATGATTTTGAAAAAATTTAATCTGAGCTGATTTTTCTGGGTTTCTAGACTAGCTCAAAATCAAATTGCTATGTATCTCTCTATCTCTCTCTATATATATGCGCGAATACATGAAATTGTAACTTGCTACATTGTTGATTCCATAGAATTCATGGGTATTTGATGAGTAAATGAAAAGAAAAAAAATGCAAATTCAGTAGTTGTTCTTAAAATTGAAAATACTTAGAAAAAGTAGTAATGTGTGGTCGAGATTCATTCTAAGCATCGGTTACATCATATAAAAGTTGAATATGGACTACACATTACTTTTCAGGGTTCGTAGCTTTATTGTTTTGGAAAATGTTTAAACTTTTTAGATAATGTTGAAGCCAAAAATAACTTTTGAAATATGAACTGCTTTTAGCTATTCTTGCTATCGACATCATTATCATAACATCATCCTTCGACAATTATGGGTAAATTTTCTTACAAGCTGCCATTACTGTCAATATTGCTAATTTTTAGCTGCTGGAGTTGGTGGGAGCAGTGTTATTAAAGGCACGCCTAGGCCCAAGTCCTATCCAGTCCCAAGGTTTGCGTCTTTTAGTGTTCCAAGCCAGGCGACTTTGATAAGGCACACTTAGGCATGCACCTAGGCCCAAGTCCCATCCAAGCTCAAGTTTTGTGCCTTGTAGTGTTCTAGGCCAGACGACTTCAATAAGGCGCCTGATTGGTCCAAGGCATAATAAGGCCCAAGGCTTGCATCTTGAGAGCTTTTTTTTATTGTTACTTTAATTGGTTTTGTTTAAAATCTGACCATTGATTTAATATGGTGAAGCTAAGAAGATCTCTACTCTTATTACAGATGCCAGTACATTGGGGCATTCAATCCGAAATCAATGTTAGGAAAAAAATTAACCTTAATTCCTAATCTCCGAAGAATACTAAATGTTTAAGATTTCATTTTGTTTATGTTGAACTCTAAATTATTTACTTGTATTAAATTATATATTTTTTTCCGTATAAAGTGCGTTTCACTTCGGTGAAGCCTGTGCCTCACCTTGTGTCTTGAGCCTAGGCCCCAGGAGACCTTGGTGCCTTAGTGCGCCTATCGCCTCCAATAACATTGGGTGGGAGCTTTCTTATGTGTTTCTTTAACGTCTTCATTGGAATTGTCATGCCATGTCTATAACTTAAAATACTCTTCCTCTACTCTTTTGGCATTTTCCAAGATTTTGTTGACTAGGAAAATGTCAGAAGAGTGGAGGAAGCGTATTTTAGTGCTAATCTATAAGAATAAAGGAGATGTCTAGAATTGTAATTACTATAGAGGAATCAAGCTGATATGTCATATAATGAAAGTGTGGGAGAGAGTGATGAAACATCGGTTACGAGATATAACAAAAATGTTAGAGAATCAATTTGGATTTATATCTGGTAGGTCAACAATGGAAGCGATCTATCTTTTGAGGAAAGTAATAGAAAAGTATAGAGAAAAGAAAAGAGGCATTCATATGATTTTTATCGATCTTGAGAAAGCATATGATAGAGTGCCTCGGGATATAATCTGGTGGGTGTTAGAGAAAAAAGGATGACGAAAGGTTACATTGATGTAATTAGGGACATGTGTGAAGGTGTGGTGACCACTATTAGATTGCCTGTTGGAGAGACAAGTGAATTTTCAATTATTGTGGAGTTATACTAAGGATCAACCTTAAGTCCATATTTTTTTACTTTAGTTATGGATGAGTTGACGAGAAATATTTAAGATAATGTGCCATGGTGTATGCTTTTTACAGATGATATCGTGTTAGTGGATACTAGAGAAGAAGTTAACACTAAATTGGAGATTTGGAAAGAAGCACTTGAATTTAAAGGATTTAAGATAAGTAGAATTAAGACAGAGTATATAGAGTATAATTTTAATATTAGTAGCATTAACAATGGAAGCCAAGGCAAAGTGAAAATTGAGAACCAAGAACTAACTAAGAGTGAATATTTTCGTTATTTAAGACCGATTATCACGACTGGGGAGATTGGAGCTGATGTAATCCATAGAATTAAGGCAGGGTGGCTTAAATGGAGGAGTGCGTTTGGGGTACTGTTTGATAAATGATTACTCATTAGACTAAAATGAAAGTTCTATAGAACGACTATTAGATCAATGATGTTATATGGGATGGAATGTTGGACAACTAAGAAACATGTAGATAAAATGAGTGTTGTTGAGATGAGGATGCTAACGTGGATATGTGGTAAGACTAGAAAAGACAGAATTAGGAACCATGAAGCACGGACACGGACACGCGACACGACACGAACATGCGGACACTCAAATTTTAAAAAAATGGAAGACACGATACGCTGGGGACACGTTCAATATATATAATTAATTTTATTTATTATATGTCATAACAAAATAAAAAAAATCATTAAAAGGTAATAAAAAATACAAAATAACACTATTAAAATTATAAAAAATAAATATTTAATTGATTTAACATCATATATATCATTCACAGATAACATAAAATTGCATTCCATCAATTCATAACATGTCATTCGAAGTTATCAACTATCATTTGTTACAAAATGCATGAAAATAAAACCACAAAACATAAAATTATCCATTGTACCAACAACTATCATCTATTACAAAATCCATAAATATCAAAAAATGTAAACCTAAGTAGAGAAAACTATTACAACATCTTCATCATTGCCTCCATATTCTCCTTCATCTATAAATAGGACCACTTCCATAGCCGGTTCATCAAGTGAGAGGTTAGCTATCCCAAGCATTCCAATATTATCAAGTGAGTCAAAGTTATCTCCGGTAATGTCTCACATTTTTGTCTCTCCTTGCAAGTATTGGGAGTTCCTCTTTGATAAAAGACAAAGATTGCTATGAATGAACACCAAGTCCTCCGCTCGTTGAGGGACCATTTTGTTTCTTCTCACTGAGTGAATAAAGGAGTAAGTACTCCAATTTCTCTCACAACAAGATGAAGAGGCGGGTTGCGCACATCATCTAAAATCTTTTCTTTTGCAAATTTTGTCTTCCCAACATCATCCTCTCTATAACAATTCCACTTATCACTAATTACCATTGCTTGAAGACCACGTTTTATAAGCTTCAACCTCTTGAGCATAACAATTGTGGAGGCAAATCGTATTTCGGCAACCGAAAGCAACTTCAAAGACACAAATTCATTGTACATAACCAATCGCGTTGAGTGATTAGAGATAAAATTCTTAATCATCAAACCATCTCCGGTAATATCACTAATCCAACTACACTCTTCATATTTGACTTCATTCCTCTCAATATTCTTTGCAGTACAAATATTTTTCAATGCTAGATTTAATGTGTGCACCTCATAAGGAGTCCATAGAATATGAGGGAATTGAGCTTCAATAAGTTGTCCGGCTGCCTTACAATTAGGAGCATTATCCGTGATGACTTGAACCACATTACTTGCCCCAACCTCATTAATCACTTCTTTCATAAAATTTGCAATGAAATATTTGTCTTTAGTTTCTCCAGAACAATCAACTGCCTTAATGAACATAGGCCCATTTTCACTCACTACCATAAAATTAATCAAAGGCCTTCTTTGAGAATCACGTATCACAAGCCCTAAGCATGTCATATATAGGACCCGTGAAGGAAAGAATATAATTAATGTAGTCCCACCACACATCATTCAAAATCTTTTCTTTTACAAATTTTGCCTTCTCAACATCATTCTCTCTATAGCAATTCCACTTGTCACTAATTACCATTGCTTGAAGCCCATGTTTTATAAGCTTCAACCTCTTGAGCATCACAATTGTGGAGGCAAATCGTGTTTCGGCAACCGATAGCAACTTCAATGACACAAATTCATTGTACATAGCCAATCGCATTGAGTGATTAGAGATAAAATTCTTAATCATCAAACCATCTCCGGCAATATCACTAATCCAACTACATTCTTCATACGCATTGAGTGATTAGAGATAAAATTCATAATCATCAAACCGTCTCCGGTAATATCACTAATCCAACTACACTCTTCATATTTGACTTCATTCCTCTCAATATTCTTTGCAGCACAAATATTTTTCAATGCTAGATTTAATGTGTGCACCTCATAAGAAGTCCATAGAATATGAGGGAATTGAGCTTCAATAAGTTGTCTAGCTGCCTTACAATTAGGAGCATTATCCGTGATGACTTGAACCACATTACTTGCCCCAACCTCATTAATCACTTCTTTCATAAAATTTGCAATGAAATATTTGTCTTTAGTTTCTCCAGAACAATCAACTGCCTTAATGAACATAGGCCCATTTTCACTCACTACCATAAAATTAATCAAAGGCCTTCTTTGAGAATCACTCCAACCATCACTAACAATGCTCACCCCTTTTTCCTACCATGGGCCCCTAATTGGTTGCAACAATCTATCAATATTTGCCCTCTCCTTTTGAAGTAATGTGGTTCGTAACAAATTATAACCGGGAGGCAAATATCTAGGAATATTATGATTTGCAACAAATGTGTAAGAGTTAACATAGTAAGGATTTCTTGCAAGATTAAATGGCACCCCCTGAGTAGAACATCCTAGCAATTTCAAAATGCAATTGCTCTCTATCCTTCATGTTGAATGCTTTCTCAATAGCAGGCCCAGGCCCACTCCCACTCCCACTCCCACTCCCACTCCCACATGTTCTCCTTTTCTTTGATTCATAAGCATAACTACTACCCACTGATACACTTGAAGGAGGCAATGATACATTTTTGGGATGAGCATTTTTAATTTTCAGTTCAACAGCATCATTCCCATTTTGCAGTTGTGAAAGTTTTTGACTTATAACTTTTTTACAAGCTCCAATTCCCTTTCTTGGGAGTTTTAACAGGTGTGCCCCTACTCTTGTATATGAACCTTTGAAAATATTATTACAAAAATTACATTGTAATTGGTAATTTTCTCCTCCTTCCCCAGGTTTTGCTAATTTAGTAATATACTTTCACAATGGTTTGTTCTCATCAAAATCATCATCAGATATATCATTAGAACTACCATCCGTAGCCATTGTTTCAGAATTAAAAATTGATTCCTATAATAAAATTAATAATCACACATTATTAAAATTAACAAAATTAATCAACAACAAAAAAAATTATATAAGGCACAGAGAGAAAAAAGAAAATATAAGATGAAATTAGGGGAAAAAAAAAATAGAAGACACAGAGGGATGGATTACACTTAGTAGTCACTCACATTCACCATATAAATGAAAAAATAAATAAAAGAAAAAATGAAATGAGAGAGAGAGGGTGACTGAGAGAGAGAGAGACATCGACTGAGACCGAGAGAAGATCGAAGCAGAAGAAGAAGAAGAAGAAGAAGAAGAAGATCGAAGAAGAAGAAGAATGAAGAAGAGCAGCGAAGGTGTACCTTAGATAACGAGCGAGGAGCGAGGAGCAACGGACGAGGAGCGACGAGCGACCGCCGAAAATCGACTAGGTCTTCTCTCTCTCTTCTGTTCTGTTGTTTCTCTTCTGTTCTAACTCGATTTAGGGTAGATATTGTTCTATTTTTGTTTTTTTACAAATTGACTCCAAAGAAGTTTTATAAATTATGAAATTGACCCCCGAACGTGTCCCGAAAGTGCCCGGAATGTGTCCGGCTGCAAAAAAAATAAAAAAAAATGGGTCACTCTTTGTTGCGTGTTAGACACGTGTCCACCGCGTGTCCAACGTGTGGTATGGAGCCTTTGGAGAGGTGTCCGTGCTTCATAGATTAGGAATGAGTATTGTTAGAATATGGAATATGAATAGGTGTCTACGTGTTATTTTTATGTTAAGTAAGGGTAGTATAGTCATATGGTATCTTGTATCTCACATATATATTGACGGATGGTTTAGGTTTACATTGTAATATGTTGAATAAGATATTCTCTTCTTCTCCTTATTTCTTCTCTCCTTCTCTCTAACCCTACTCTACTCTACGTCTTTCATATTTTTTCATTTCAACTTGGTATTAGAGCATTGATTCAACCTTGCTAGGAGTTCATTAGATTCTTAAGATTTTTTTGAGGTGAAAATGACATGCTGACATCATCTCCCGTACAATGACGTCAAAACCTGTACAAACAAGGTTGGCCCTTCATACTTGCCTCTTTCTCCTGATGTTCATGGTGATTTTTGTGGATTTTTTTGGAACCATCTAATGTGAGTTTTCTATTATTGAATCTTTTTTGTATTTTTATTGCTCATACTTCAATTTGTCCCCAATTTCCTTACGTAGAGTTGTTTGATTGTTGGAAACCAACCCTTAGGGCCCGAAAATCACCTAGGAGGTGTTTTGATGAATTTGTTGTGTGTTTTTGTTGCTAATGTGTTAGATTCCTCTATGTTTTTGGTTCGCTGCTATGTTGTTGTTGTGTTTATTGTTGTTGGTTTGTTTCTGTTTTGACCTGTGTTAAAACCTGGTGTTTGGGTTTGTTCGCTTTTGCAAGGTTTTGGTATTCGGGTTCCTACTCCTATGAGCATGTACTATGATAATGAAGCCGCTATTTTCATTGCTAATAATCCTATGTTTCATGAGCGTGTAAAGCATATTGAGATTGATTGTTATTTTATCCGGGATTTGTTGTTGCGAAAGCAACTTAAGACACCATATGTTTGCTCCGATGATCAATTGGGTGATATACTCATGAGGCCCCTTGCTTATTCTTCATTTCAGCTTCTTTCTGCCAAGCTAGGAATGTTCGATCTCTATGCTCCAGCTTGAGGGGGAGTGTTAGAATATGGAATATGAATAGGTGTCTATGTGTTATTTTTATGTTAAGTAAGGGTAGTATGGTCATATGGTATCTTGTATCTCACATATATATTTATTGATGGTTTAGGTTTAGATTGTAAGCCTAGAACATATGTTGAATAAGATATTCTTTTCTTCTCCTTATTTCTTCTCTCCTCTCTAACTCTACTCTACTCTACTCTACTCTACTCTACGTCTTTCATATTTTTGCCCTTCAACTAGTATATTTGTGAATGGGTAGGGGTAGCACCGATAGAAGATAAGTTAAGAGAGAATAGATTGAGATGGTTTGGTCATATATAACGGAGACTAATAGCGGTAGTAGTGAAGAGATGTGATACAGTGACGGTAGATAGAAGTGTTAGGGGAATAGATAGACCTGGATTGACGTGGGCGAGTGTAGTAAATAGAGATATGAATCTCCTTAATTTGACTAACCAAATGGCTGTTGATAGAGTCGAGTGGAGAAAAATGATTCATGTAGCCGACCCTATTTGATAGGACTTAAGGCTTGGCTTGGTTTGTTTTGGTTTGCTTTCTTGATAATATTTGTTGTTGTGTGTATTTTTAATTTTTTTTATTAAGACAGGAAACGTGATGAGTAATGTTTCTTGCAGTGTCGTACGAGTTGCATTGCTTGGGTGGAAATGCATCCTCCTTTGACGCTACACAGGCACCCGATGTGTGCCGAAGTAAGTAATTCTTTTTTGACTTCCATGTTATGTTTTTTATTTTTTATGCTTATGAACTACCAATGGCATGTGGTTTGGGGTGGATCACTAAAGACATGTATTGTATAATGTCATCTCTTGCATAAGCTTTAGGGTGTGTGTTGGTTTGGGTGCATCTAGTTGTTAGATTCATTTTTTTAAAAAAACAGCTGTATCATTTAGGGGCTTTTGGTTTTGTTTTCATTTTCGCCCTTTGCTTTTTTCTTTTTCATTTTTCATGTTTTTGGAAACAAAAATAATGATAAGTTCAAAAACACCATCGTTTTCATAGCATAAGATTAGGTTCCATGGTTCAAATAATTTACCGCGATTACTTTTCTTGTGTTCATTAGTGCGAGCCCTAGCCAATACTCGATCCTAACGAGTTGGATTTTAATTGAATGGTAAAAAGGCAGTTTTTCCGATCTTGCTGAGGAAGAGGTTTGGGAGTAGCCATGGATCTCATTATAAGACTTTGAGAGAATTCAGCGAGAAATGCATCCCGTGACAAACGGGAAGCTCCAACTAGAGCAAATGCTGGTTGCCATATTTCATTTTTCCAGGAGCACATGTCATATTTCATTTTTTTGGGAAAATAGTTCTCGAAAATTCGAAGTTAACATTTTAATGTTTCCCAAAATGGGTTGTTTCTAAAAATTTTCCCTAAATTTTTTTTTTGGAAATAGTTTGCTAAACAAGTTTTTATATTTTCAAAAAAAATGAAAACAGAAAACAAGAACACAACCAAACAGGTTGTTTTCATTTTCGATGTTTCATTTTTATGTTTTAGGAAACAAAACAATTAAAAAAAGTTCAAAAAATCCATCGAATTTTGAAAATTAAAAAAAAAAAAGTCTAAAATGTTTCCTAAAAGGGGTTGTTTTTGGAAAATTTCTGGGAAAACAATTTGCCAATTAAGTTTTTTGTGCTAGTTTTTGTGTTTTTTCTGTCCTCAAGAACAGAAGACAAAAAACAAAAAACAAAAAACAAAAACGAAAAACGATACTAAACTTGATATTTTCTATATTATATGGCAAAAGGATGTTTTTGCTGAAATTCTAGTTCCCACACGGGTAGTACCCTTGTTTTGATGTATCCTATATAAATGCAAGGAGCTTATTTTAGAAAGTGTTCCATAGAACTTATATCAAACTAGGAAGATATTTTTCCTCTTTTTACTGCATGCATGTCAAACACATTTCCCATCTTCATACCCATCTTGTGTCGTTTTGAAGCATAGACAAGGATATGGAACACGGACATGACACAAACACATATACGTCAACATGGTAAAGTTCAGAAAAGTAGAACTCGGACATGGTTCAGGGATGCCACAAATAATTATATGTTGATAATTTGTTTACTAGAAATATATTATATTATATAGTTATATATGTGCATAATATATATAAAATTGAATAATTACTTTATACTATGTAAATCTTGTATCTAATTCTCTTACATTAATTTTTAGACTACTAAACCATAGTAGTTTAAAAATCAGACAAATATAGCAAATATATATAATTATAATGTTCTCTCATCCTCCTAAGCATCTACTTATACAATTTTTTTTTTTTAATATATTTTAAGAATTATACATTTTGTATTCTTAAGAATTATACATTTTTTAAGGGTACAAGATATTTATGTCAAATTTTCGAACTTTGAAAATAATGCAATAGCAAATGTTCAAGAAGTGTTGGTCTTGTGTTTATATTTTAGTGATAGACTGGCCAAGAAGTGAAGGACGAGTTAAAATGAGTGTCAGACACAGGTTCAAAATTAAGATTTTTGTTTTTAATTATGGACATGTAAATAAGAGTATCGGACATGTGTCCAAAAGTGTCTGAGAAGTGTCGGTGTCCGACACAAGTCCGATACGGACACTTCGCCTTCTAAGAAGTGTTCATGCTTCTTAGTTGTGTTGTGTCTAATGTGGCCACTGCAAACATCTTGGAGTATTCATATATAATTTAGATAATAGCTCACAGCAATGATGGAAGTCTTATCCTTATTATTATTATTATTATTATTGAATAAGGCCTATTTTGGCAATTAGGAAAAAAACCAACTTATTGGCTTATTTGGATCACATCATGTGGACCTAACTTTAAATTGTTAAGTCAGAGTAGAGTGATGTTAGGGGAATATTATTTCACCAGCAAAATCCTTGTCCTTTGCAGAGATGAGAAGCCAAAGTTGTTGCGTTCTTTCCCAATAATGATTTCATGGTGAAACTGCTTAAATTGACTTTTGTTTGCTTCATAAAACTTCATTTGTTGACCTTGTGATGTTGATATTGTTTCTGGTTGTTGGAAGGATTCTTCATGTTAATATGAAACAGCGAGAGATTGATAGATGTTTGCACATTGAGATTGTTCTAATGGTCTGTTTGGTGCAGATTATCGAGCAATTCCAAAAGTGTCATCTAGATCATCCTATTGGAAAATTCTTTGGCGAATGTACTGATCTCAAAATAAAGCTTGATCACTGTTTCCGACAGGAAGTGAGTTTTCTTTGTCCGGGTGTTCTGTTTTCCTTCCTGATTGGAATTTTAGTTCGAACCTCATGGTTATTCTTTGTTTTCTTTCACAGAAAGCGTTGAAGCGAAAGGCGAATTTCGAAGAGAGTAAGAAACTGAAAGAGAGGCTACAAGCTCACAGAAAGGAAATAATGAGAGAAGATCTGAAGTGAGATGATTTATGAAATTTTGATTGTTTTGAAGTTATTGTGGAGGCTTTTATAGTGTGATAGCGAATACCTCAGAAGATGACCCATGTCATGGTGCATTGTGATAGCAAATTCATCTGTTAATAAATTTAAGAGACATTAATTTTATAGTGTAAGAATTATTTATTCACCAAGAAGATTTGTAATAATGCAAAGGAAGCCAATGGAAGTTCTGATATTTGAGAATTTGTTGGGGACGAAAAAGGAAATAACAAAAGATGTTGAAAATTTTCTGATTAACACCCAATTGTTGTGCATTCTGGATGAAATCAATATATATATATATATATATGTAACTGCTGTTCATGTTAAATGTCTTTGAATTTGTTATTCAGATGTGGTGAAATGATTTTGACATTCTTTGTGCTACTTATTCTGCCGAAGCAATCTCAGTTAAGTAATTAAATCAATTATAACCTGTCTCTCAATTTATTTAATTCCAATCAAGTAAAAATGTTAGAGCTCTTTAATTTCCTTTTGAGAATTGAGGTTAATTAATTAATTAATTTATTTTAAAGATTACATTTGTTCAAAAGTTACTACTAGTCGCATCAATTGGATTGGACCAGTCTCGGCTACAATTGGCTTTGTTTAGTTAATTTTTGGAAAATTTAGTTATAAACTCTTTTTACCTTCCTTTCATTGTTATAAGGACTAAGAAAAAAATTATACTTTTTAAACTCTCTCATAATTATAAAGTCTTGCATAAAGGACAAAATTTATTATTTACATATTTTATTAGACTATTATACCATCAATTAAATTTTTCCACCTTCTCTATCCACTTAAAATTGAATAATTACTTTATACTATGTAAACCTTGTATCTAATTTACTTTGTTCTCCGCCGACATGCTCCTCCTCATTACCGTCGGAAACTTCTAGATTCTTCTCCGGCGATGATAGCAACGACGGCTATGATGATTTCCTTCCAGATCTGAAGCTATGTTTCTCGACAATTTTGGTGACGTGCTACTCCTCCTCCTCGTTGCCTCGATCTGTCATCCGGTGCCGGAATCGAAGGAGATCGTCTACGAGGAGAAACAGATCATCTCTGAATTGATTGCTATTACTCCGAAGAGCAATGAATTGATCGCTGAAACGGCATGTTTGGTGGAGTTGTTTGGTTATACATATTTTTTTAAATACAGATTTGAGTTTTGAATATATGTATGTATGTATATATATATATATTTGTGTGTATGAGTGTTGTTGAACACATGTATTCTTTTCATTGAGATTTGTGATTGTTGATCGAGTTTTAGAAGTTTTTCTTCTCAATTAGATATGTTGATTTGTTGATTAATTTGTTTTGTTTTTGTTTGTTTGTTTGTTTGTTTTTTGATTTATTTTTGTTGTTTTTTATCTAATTTCTTTTGACAGAATCAGAGTAAAATTTTACTCTGGTTCTATTGCTCTGTTTTTTGTTTCAGATAATGAGAGTAAAATTTTACTCTTATTCTATTGCAGAGTAAAATTTTACTTTTGTGCAGAGTAACATTTTACTTTTAGCTTCAGAGTCTCATAGTTTACTCGTTTTTCAGAGTAAAATTTTACTTTTATACAGAGTAAAATTTTACTTTTGTGTAGAGTCTAACATTTTACTAGTTTTTCAAAGTAAAATTTTATTTTTATACAGAGTAAATTTTTATTTTTAGCTTCAGAGTCTCACAGCTTACTCGTTTTTCAGAGTAAAATTTTACTTTTATATAGAGTAAAATTTTACTTTTGTGCAAAGTCTAACATTTTACTAGTTTTTCAGAGTAAAATTTTACTTTTATACAGATTAAAATTTTATTTTTAGTTTCAGAGTGTAACATTTTACACAGTGAAGATGACTTAATAGGAGAGCTGATAGATATGAAGGTAATATAGTAAAAGAAACAAGTTTTAAAATATTAGAGAATTTTGAAAGTACTTATATAATTATTGTCATTTTGAAAGACAAATTAGATAGTGAGGGAGCTATCACCAATTCCCCTTTAATTTTTCAAAGCTTATTTTCTAATTTTTAAATAAAAAACTAATTTTTAAAAAATAAATATCAAAGCAGATATTTTTGAATTTTCAAAAATTATTTTTGCCTAAAAAATAGAAAATCATATGGTAATTCACTATGGTTTTAAGTTTTCACAAACCATATATATTCTTTTGGTTTTTAGTTAATTTTTTAAATATTTTTTGGTCCATTATTTTTTATTTTTTTAGATCTACTTAATCTAAATACATTTAAAAAGTACAAAATTTAAAAAAAAAAAATACAAATTTTTAAAAATATAAAAGTACATTTTTGTAATTATTGATTTTTTTTTAATAAAAAAATCGTAAATATTCTACTTTTTAATTACATTTAAATTAATTGCATTTAAAATTGAATAAAATATTAAAAAAATTCACATAAAATGAAAAAAAAATACAAATTAAAAACTCAAAAATTAATTTTGAAAGCAAACAGGTTTTAAATATTTTTCAGAAAACTAATTTAAAGAAATTGACCAATAGATTTTCAAATTCATTTATGTAGATGTAACCAAGATTCTTGAGTACTAATTTAAATGAATGCATCGCAAATTCGTAAACAAACCTACTTGCAAGGACCGATCCAAATCTTAGGTCTAGTAAGATACTTAACTAACTAGGTTAGTTCAGTTAAATTTTACCATAATCAAAACTCCCTCCTTCATGCTATGATATCTCACGTACCAAAAAACCAAAAACAAAAAACACATAAGGTGCAACTTTGAGCCAGGTAAACTAAAATTGAAATGCTTCCTTCTTACCCCAATGCTTCCTTCTTACCCCAAACATAAGAAAAGCAATTTCAAGCTACTGGCATGTTAGTGTATAATTGTAAAGTGTATAATTGTAATATTAATATTAGTGTATAGCTTTAATTATTAGCACTTTACTTTATTCTTTATGCTTTATTCTTTATGCTTTCGGTGAGCATCCAAAGCACCATAATTCTCTCTATAAAGAGAGTGCCTTCTCTTTGTAATACACACATAGTTTTGACAGACAAACAACAATTCATTGTCTCTCTCTCTCTCTCTCTCTCTCTCTCTATCCTCTCTCACTTTCTCAAACTATTATTTCATGGTATCAGAGCCCAGTGTTACATTTCTGGCAATTTTCAATTTTGGTGTTTAGTCTCGTACACAGTGGCACTATATCAAACTGCTCGGAATTTCCTCACGATTCCAATGGCACCAAGCCCGTCCTCAGAAAACCTTCAACGCGCCCACACGCGCCGCCTTTGTCCTCTGCGCGTCACCACTTCCGCCACCACTCTCGCACGCGCCCTCTGTTGTTGCTCACTTCCGCCACGCGCCCACACGCCCGCGGCTGACGTCAGCCCTGCCTCTCCCGTACGCCGCGCTTGCTATTGTACGCCTCTCGTGCGCCGCTTCACTAGTGTGCACCCGCGTGCGCCAAAACAGCAACCGTGCGCCGTGCCTGCGCCTGACCGCTACCGTGCGCCGCCGCTTCCTGCTAACGTGTTCCTCCCTACACTCTGCTAACGTGCGCCGCTGACATCATCTCTGTCCAACATACCTTTCCTTGCTATTTTCGCCCTTCCGGACTCACTGGTACACTCTGTTTTACCTAATTTTGCTCCTATAGGTCTATTCCTATTACTTTAAACCCTACTCAACTAGTATTATGGATCGTCATGATGTCTCTCATCCCATTTCCGTTATTTTGAATGGTTCAAACTATGTTCTGTGGGCCCAAGCCATGTCCTCCTTCCTCAAAGGAAAGAAGCTTTGGCGAATTGTCACCGGGGATGTGACTAAACCAGTGAAAGACAGTGACACTAATGCAACTACTGCTCCTATTGCTACATTTGCAGACCGACTTGAGGAATAGGACAGTAAGAATTACCAAATCATTATTTGGTTTCGTAATACCTCTGTTACCTCTATCAGTCTTCAGTTTGGTCGCTTTCAGCTTGACTCTGTAGCAACTCCTGCAAAAGACATCTGGGATTTTTTGAAAGAACGGTACCAGACTACTAGTCTTGCCCATCAATATCAACTTCATAACCAACTTCACCGCATGCGCCAAGAATCCACTCAGTCCATTAATGACTTCCTTTCTCAAATATACTCTGTTTGGGATCAGCTTGCTCTTTCAGAACCAACTTGGCATAACCCCGAAGATGCTGTTTTATTTACTATCTATCGCAACCAGCAAAGGTTGGTGCACTTTCTCATGGCTCTTACTTCCTTCTTTGAGCCTGTACGTGCCTCTCTGCTTCATTGTCATCCATTGCCCACTCTTGAACAAGCAATTTCTGAGTTGCTATAAGAGGAGACTCGTCTCGGTACTCTTCAAACTCATCATGTGGACTCTGTTCTTGCCACTCCTCCGTACCGGCCATCATTTACCCAGCGGACCACTGCTTGCCTCTATTGTCAGAATCGGGGCCTTCCTTCAACCCATCTCCTGGTCAATTACCCCGTCAGATCCTGCCGCTACTGCAACAAACTTGGTCCTGGTCATCTGCAACAGGATTGTTTTCGCAATCCATCCCGCTCATCCTAAAATAGCTAGTCCTCTCGCGGTGGCTCTTCCCGGGGAAGCTTTCATCGTTCCGGGACTCAGTCTCATCACACTGATACTGCCGCTTCTGCGGGGTTCTCTAAGTCACCTGCTCCGTCTACCCCTCGCTTTTCTCCGACGGATGTCGAGGCCATGCTCAAACAACTTCTCTCCCCATCTGGTACACCTCGTCCTACTGCTTTGTCTGTAATCCCGGGTAACTCTTCTTGGTATTTTGACTCTGCCTGTTGTAATCATATGACCTCCAGTTCTACTATCTTTTCTTCCTTATCTTCATCTCCTCATATTCTCCCAATACATACTGCTGATGGTTCCCTCATGTCTGTCCATCATGTTGGTACTGTTTCCACCTCTTCTTTATCTATACCTCAAGTTTATCATATCCCTGCTCTTACCTTAAACTTTATTTCCATTGGTCAATTATGTGAACTTGGTCTAACTGTCACATTTTTTGCTACTGATTGTTTGGTACAGGACCCTCAGACGAGGTAGACTATTGGGATCGGCCGTAAGCATGGACGTCTCTATGAACTCATTCACCTTCATGTTCCTGCCTCTCCTCAGATCGCTGCTCCTACATCTACTTCCCCATTATCTCCCTTTCATCTTTGGCATTGTCGCTTAGGGCATATTTCTGTTAATCGCTTAAAGTCTTTGGTTTCTAGTGGTCAGTTG